AACAAGGTTATACTGTCATAATTTCTAGCAAAAGGGATCAAATCTGGTGGCATTAGGGCAAAACCAAGGAGGAAAACTACAGAAAATTCCTAAAATTGAAAACCCTAAAGGATTAAAGATAACTCAAATCAAAGATGGAAAGATGAACATGTGGCTAATTTCTTACTGGAAAGTGCTAGAAAATTGCAACCTCCCTTACACTGCACAAGAACTCAACATGGACCAGAAAAATTTGGGGAAGCAACAACAAGATCTGGTTTTGAATCATCATTTTGAGAAACATAAGCTCATAAATCTCTAACCCTTGCTAGGAGAAGGAAGAAAAAGCTAAATCTCACTTGATTCTTGACAAAAAGAGGCTGGGCACAAGCTAGGGCTTGTGGTGGAAAAATTCGGGTGAGGAGCTAAGAAGATCATGCAAAAGGGAAAGGAGAAAATGGAAAACCAGCCTTAGCCCTTTTTATCACCAGATTCTCTCTTTTAACCCCCTTAGGTTTGAAAATTTTAGTTATCGACCCCACAACAATAATTTCTCTCACATAAATCTCTAACTTAAATGTTAAGATCCTAGAAAATTTAGGGATATTACATACCTATTCTTGTAATCCATTTTTTGCATGATTGGGAGTTTATGGTTTGTCTTGTTGCAAGCATCTCATCATTCAATGGCATTTTCATGCCATCAAACTACTTTAAACCATGTTTTCCTCAAATGATAATGGGGCACTTGGTTTATGGGAATACTTTAAGAGTAAAAATTAAATGGCTTAAGTCTTTATGCATTATTTTGAATCAAATTTGCACATTTGTCAAGGATGACCATATAGGCATGGTAGTTTGGTTTGGTTCATATATTCATGATTTTGACTTGGTGGCCTTAAGCTTCACGCATTTGCATCTAACTCATTAGTGGTGTATGATATCCTTGCATTTCACACTTTGCTGCTTTTGGTAAAAATCAACACTTATCTTTTGGTACTTTACTGTTTATTTGTAGTTTGTCTTTTGTCTATTGTCCTTGAGTTTAAATTTAAATAACTTCTGATCATTTTTAGTTGATTGTTACTTTGATTGTTGGTTTAAGTCATGTAACATATGTATGTCTCAATACAATAAAAATACAAAATACAAAATAAAAGAAATAAAACATTAAAAAGAGAAAAAAATATTAAAAAATATAAAATTTAGAAACCATAAAGGACTTTGATAAAATAATTTACCTGTTTGCTTGCTTGTCGATTTATTCCTTGATTTTAAACAATGTCACTAAGATATTTAAGGAGTTGAGAAAACAAAGTATGGAGCAGCGAATTGTGCTAATTGCATTGGATTTTATTACTATGGATGCTAATCATATATACAAACTGGCACCAATAATGAAGCCTAGAAAGACGCTACTGTACAAGGGAAAAATGTATATACATACTGTAATAACTCTGCAATGATAGTGCAGAGATTGATTTCCTCATTCTACTCCGTGATACTCTCCAATACTCCCCCTCAAGTTGGTGCATGAAGATCTCGAATGCCAAACTTGGATAGCAGAAAAGCAAGGCGCTCACGACCCAAAGCTTTTGTGAAAAGGTTCGCCAGTTGATGACAAGAGGATACATGAGCTGTGATCAATTCCTTCTTCTGAATATGCTCTCGAACAAAATGACAATCTATTTCAATGTGTTTAGTTCGTTCATGGAATACAAGATTGTTTGCAATGTGTAGGGCAACTTGATTGTCATAGAAGAGAGTCATTAGTCTTGAATGGTTTATGCCAAGATTGAAAAGTAGAGATTTCAACCAAGTAAGCTCACTTACTGTGGAAGCCATAGCCCTGTACTCTGCTTCAACAGAGAAGCGTGAAACTGTCGACTGCTTTTTTGACTTCCAAGAGACTGGAGAGCCCCCAAGGCAAATATAGTACCCTGTGGTTGAGCGACGTGTATGAGGGCAACCTGCCCAATCAGCATCGCAATATGCCACCAGCTACAACTTGCTTGAAGAAGATAATAAAATCCCCTGGCTCTGTGATCTCTTGATGTAATGCAGGACCTTCATGGCTGCCTCAAAATGTTCTTGCTTGGGATTTTGCATGAATTGAGCCAAAATACTCACAGAATAACAAATATCTGGTCGCGTGATTGTTAAATAAAGCAGTCTCCCAACCAATCTCATATACTGTGAAGAATCAGATGCTAAAGGCCCAGAAGCCAATTTAAGTCGATGATGCTGGTCCAAGGGAAAGTGGCTGGGTTTTGCTCCAAGCAATCCTGCCTCTATAAGGATATCAAGAGCATATTTTTGCTGACTTAAAATGATGCCTTCAGCAGTTCGAGCGACCTCAACACCAAGGAAGTACTTCAAAGGGCCTAAATCCTTTATGGAAAACTCTTTGTATAGATAAGCCTTAAGAGCTGCAAGTTTCTCAGCATCATTGCTTGTAATCACTATGTCATCTACATAGATCAAAACTGCAACAAACTTATTATCAGTAGTAGAGGTGAATAAAGAGTAATCTACTTTTGATTGACAAAACCCAGTTGCCAAAAGAGAATTTGTGAACTTTTCAAACCAGTTTCTTGAGGCCTGCCGCAAACCATATAGAGACTTGCGCAATCTGCAAACTTTATTGTTTTGTTTACAATCGAAACCTTGTGGTATCTTCATATATACTTCTTCATGTAAATCACCTTGTAAGAAGGCATTATTCAATCTAATTGGTGCAATTCCCATTGTTTAATGGATGCAAAAGCAAGCAACACTCTCATTGTTACCATCTTTGCAACAGGAGCAAAGGTCTCATGGAAGTCCAGTCCTTCAATTTGTGTGAAGCCTTTAGCCACCAACTTGGCTTTATACCGTTCAACTATCCCATCCAGTTTGAATTTAACCTTATGTATCCACTTCGAATCAATTGCACATTTCCCTGGAGGCAATAGCTCAATTGTCCAAGTACCATTCTTCTCAAGTGCAGTGATGTCATTCCTCATTGCTTCTCGCCATTTTTCATGTTTAATGGCTTGAGAAAATGTTTTAGGCTCATCTATAGAAGATATGGCTGCAAGATAGGTCTGATGAGGGAGTGAAAAAGAATTATATGAGACATAGTTAGACAGAGGGTATGACGTACCTGAGTTGGTTGACTATAATGGAGCTTTTGTGGGCTGAAGTGATGTGGGCATGGTGCAGACATAGTCATCAAGATGCTGAGGAGCACGTCTCTCTTGTTGTGGCCGTTGGACTGGAGCTGCAGGATCAGTAGTTGGATTGATTTCCCAATTAGTGATAGTGTTTTCAACGGGATCAACCTCATTGTCATCTAAGGGAATTGTATCATGAGTTTCTATGCTTGGTTGCAAGATATTAGGGGTAGATGATGCCATGTGATCTCCAACATTATGAATGGATGCATATGGAAAAATTTGCTCATAAAAAACCACATCTCATGAAATAAAGATTTGATTGCTTTCCAAATTAAAAACTCTATATCCCTTTTGCCCAAAAGGATAGCCAATGAAAACACATTTCGTTGCTCAAGAATCAAATTTTCCACGATCCTTAGAGTGATTGTGTGCATAACAAAGGCACCCAAACACTCTTAAATGTGAATAATAATGAGCCTTTTGAAAAAGTTTTTCAAATGGTGTGAAATTTGAAAGCATAAGTGTAGGAGTTAAATTGATTAAGTAAGCTGCAGTGAGGATACATTCACCCCAAAATCTTAATGGCAGATTGGCTTGAAATCTTAAAGCTTATGCTACCTCAAGAAGGTGATGATGCTTTTGTTCGACAACCCCATTTTGTTGAGGTGTATATGTGCATGTAGTTTGTTGTACAATTCCCTTCTTAAAGCAAAATTCCTTCACTTGCCTTTCAGTGAATTCTTTACAATTGTCACTTCGAATCTATTGCACATGAGTGTGAAATTGGTTTTCCACCATATGACAAAAATTTATCAAATATGATGCAGTTTCAGATTTGTGCTTTAAAAGACACACCCATGTGCAGTGTGAAAAATCATCCACAATGGTCAAAAAATAATGTGCACCAATACTAGATGGAGTGGCATATCTACCCCATATATCACAATGAATTAAGGCAAAAGGATGAGCAGATTTATTATTACTAATAGGAAAAGGTAGTCTTATTTGCTTAGCTCGATGACAAGCATCACAAACATGTTTTATTTGATTTGAACATAAAGGTAAAGAAGATATTTTAGCTAGTCGTTCTATAGGTGCATGCCCAAGCCGTTGATGCCATAACTCCAAGGATATGTCCTCCTTGGTATGACTAATGGCTGCTACATGCCCAAAATCACAATAGTAAAGCCCATCATGAAGCTTACCCATTCCAATCAACCTCCTCGAGGCTAAGTCCTGGAAGACACAAAAATCAGGGAAGAAAATTACAGCACAATTAAGTTGCTTTGTTATTTGACTGACAAAAAGAAGATTGCATGTAAATTGAGGGACACACATAACATTTTCTAAAGTTTATCTGACAGAGTGGCTTTCCCTAAATGAGATGCATCTAGGGTGGATCCATTAGAGATGTAAACAAGTGATGAGTAAGGCCTTGTGTCCTGGAGTATGGAAGAGTGTGGTGTCATGTGATTAGATGCACCACTGTCAATTATCCAAGAAAGAAAAGAATGTGAGGTCTTACTAGCAAGGTTAATATATTGTTTAGAATCAGAATTACCACCAAGAAGCGTGAGGAGTTGATCATACTGCGCCTTTGTAGGTCCTGTAATTGGTGATTGATCTAATTGACCTCCAGTCAATTGTGGCTCAAGTGATGCATTTGCTACCAAAATCACATCCTTATCTGTGTTCTGATGTTTTTGCTGCTCCCCCTTACCCCTCATCTTCATTTGTCCTGGTTTCCAACTCACTGGATAGCCTATTATTTCATAGCATCTTTCCTTTGTGTGGCCTATCCTTTTGCAATTATCACAGTGTGGTTTCCCTGATGTGCTCACCTTTTCGTTATAACTTGTCTTTGCTGCTAAAGCTGTTGCCTCTATAGTTGGACTTCTAGATGCAGACACCATTTGCTGTTTTTCTTCTTTTGTGGTCATTGAGTAAACCTTGTTGAGAGATGGTAATGGTTCCATGTTCAAGATCTGTGAGCGCATGGTAGAAAAATTCTCATTCAAGCCCATGAGAAATTGATGAACCTTCTTAGTCTCTCGTGCCCTTGTAAACTCCTTTGTTGCACCACAAGTGCAGCCACAAGTACATGTTGGCACAGGTTCATGAGCCTGCAACTCATCCCAAATAGGTTTCAATTTTGAGAAATAAGCTGCTACAGATCTTGTTTGTTGAGTGGTTGTTGCGAGCTCGAGCTTCAATTCATATATCCAGGATGTGTTTCCTTGTGAGAAACGTTCCTTCAAATCTTCCCAGACCTCTGCTACACCCTCAACATAAGCCACACTGTCATGCAATTCCCTTGAGAAAGCATTCAATATCCATGACAATACCATGGAGTTACACTTTGTCCAAGCTAGAAACTTTGGACAATCTGCACTTGGCTTCTTAAGAGTTCCATCAACGAACCCCATTTTAAGAATATATCTCTGACTTAAGAAAAAGATCAAGAATTTCTTGTAGGAATCAGTTCTTCTTATTGTTAATATCTATCCTTATGAATTACTTACTCTATAAACATTATCAAGATTCGAAAACGGACATACAATTTTAGAACTTGCCTTTCTTTTTTCTTTTTTCTTTTTTTTTTTTTTGCAACGCGTTTCCAAAATCTTGGAAGCTTGTTACGAAAATAGTCATCAGTATTTTTTTAAGAAAAAAAAAATAGTTACAATACTAACGAGCTTTTATTAAATTTTGTTATATTTTTTGCAACAAAAGCAAAAAATAGAAAACAAAAGTGTTACTAAACTGGCACTAACAAGCTATTTGTGTTTTGCTTTTTGGCCAAGTTAAATATTGCTTAGTTGAAATTACCAGTCAACGTCCTTATCACCGTAGTACTTGTGCAAATGCTTTTAAGGAAAATAAGAACCATTTGTGATAGTCCCTTTCAATGATGGCATTAGGTACATCTCGTTACTAAAAAGCGAATTCAATTTCACAAATAAATTGTATGCATTGAGAGGAAAAAAAAAAATGAAAACTTAGCAACTGAGTAACATAATTGAAGTAATGAGACGCTTTAAGCTCCAAACATTTTTTACAGAACAATCTAAAATTTCAGGAGATCCCTCAGTTGGAGAAGGTTGATTTTCTGGGGCTATATATTGCTTTTCAATAATATAGTAACCCATAGATGTTGAATAACAGATGAGATTTCCATATAGCTAGGGATGTTTAATTGGTGGTTCTTTATACTTGCTAACTATATTATTGTCCCTATAACGATTAGCTTATAATCAGTAATATTAGATGGCTTTTTACTTGTCCTTAAATGATTCATTTATGAGTGTTTATTGCCTTGTATTAGATGCTATAGGTCTCTTGTTACCCAATTGAGTTGCTGTTTAGGGATTATAATTGATTGGAATATCTATTTCTCTATTTATTAATAAAATCACATGGTTTAATTATTATAAAAAGCATTTAGAAATGGTAATTACTAATTACTCTTCTAAATTGGGATTCATAACTATGACCAAAAAATTAAAAAAAAAAAATAGAGTACATGTTTAGGTGCTATGGTAAATTCTACGGAAATAATTGTTAAGGCTACAGAAAAACATGAGAGGTTAGTTATTAGAAGTAATTGATGGTTATAACTGTTTATTAATAGTTGATAATATAACTAATATTTATTACTTAACTATCTGAAATTATCCTATAAATTAATGTTTTCAAGCACCCAACTACACTATACATTGATAATTAAAATTAGACAAATCAAATACGTTACAATTTTGTGTGAACTAAACAATTATTTATGTCGCCATAAAGGTGGCTATATTTACGGTCTTGGTCTTTCATATCCATATCCAAGTTATAAGTCATGGCCTTCACTGTCTATAATGGGAACAATGTTTCCTTCGTATTAAAATGAGAATTTGTAGTTTTACAATGTGTGGAGTGCATATTGTGTAATAATTAATAAAAAGGAGATCACCACAATATTTTAAAGGCTTAATGTCATTAAAAATCTCCTGACTTTCCAAAAGGAGTCATTGTCATGCTTCGACTTTAAAAGAATTCCTAAAAACCCCTCAACTTTAGAAAAGGGGCAATCCTCATCCCTCCGTTACCAGCCGTCATAACTCCGTTCAAAATCCTCCAAATTTTAATGGTAAAATACCATTTTCAGTCCCTCAAATTTTAGGTTTAAAACACTCTGATCTTCAAGTTTCAGTTTTACTCAATTTGGTCCCAATTTAACTTTTCTTATTTCAATTATATCTCTGAACTTTTGAAGAGTTGCACTTGAGTCCCAATTTTTTTTAGGATTTTTCTAACATGTACCATACACTTAAGTGCAATTATTTTATCAAGCAAATAATTTTTTTTATAGAATCAATCAAACAAAATTAATTCATTGTTATTAGGGGGCATTCTAGTTTGTTTGAGTTTCAATTTTTTTAATATTAGAAGTTTCAAGTTCAGACTGTGAGATAAGTAAGGAGGGATTTAAAAACAAATAGTGATATCCCTTGTTTGGATTAATTGTGATGTAACTGATAGTTAATGGTTATTATTGTTTATAATTGAAAGAATATAATCCATTTAATTAGAGTTAATCATTGATAATTATTTCTCAAAATATAAAACAAAAGTGAGACCATCAATGTATTAGGGGGATGGACATCAAGCTAGCTTTTACTGGGCTGAGTGTATTTTAGACAGGCCCCAGATTAACTGAGTCAAGCCCAAGATCAAGTCTAGTTATGATTTTGTACCCAAAAAGAGAATAGGCTTAGATTGGTTGAAAAGTGAAGTCCATTTACATATTAATATAACAATCATTTGATCCACCAATAGTTTTTCTAAATATTAATTAAAATTAAAGTCTTTGCAGGTTGAACTCTAATTTTTTAAAGAGTTGATAACTAATATGCATAATTTTTTTATATATATCAATTAAGGATCAACATACACACATTTGAGAGTCTTACATAAGTTTAAAGTCCTTCATAACAAAGAGAAAATATTTTCTTATATATTTTTTTGGACACTTTTGAAAATAAAAAAATTATAGTATATAGTACTCCAACAGGTTAACATAATGCATTTGTTAAATGTCAAATTTATTCCTTAAATTTTAATTTTGAACAATTTTAATAATTAAAAAACACTTTTTGTCTTTTTATTGATTTTTCTATTAAGTCTATCCAACTAGCATTTTTTTAAATTTCTTTTAATAATCACTACAAGCAAAATGTCCTATGCTAATGGAAGTCTATACCAACAGACAGAAATCCATCTGTATAAACTATATATACCAACGAAAAACTTAAGTAGTCAGTATACATCATTTTATACTAATGAAAAAAATATTTTCGTTACTATAGACTTGATTTATACAAACGGTTTACTATTTATCCATTTGTATAGAGCATATCTATTCCTATGCTAATTATTATCGTTTGTATAAATGTATGTCTACAGACGGATTACTGTTCCGCCCTATAATTCCCTATTTCTTAAACACATTATTTTCCTTATTAATTTCACTGGGCTTCATTTTTACTTCCCTCCACAAATTCCCCATTTTCCCTCCCTAATTTTTGAGCTTCCCTTCCCAAGTAGACCTAAGTGTTTCCACCGTTCTCTCAAATCTCCAAAATTCATTTGAACGCATTCGAACTCAAAAACCCAAAATTCAAAAACCCATTTGACCAGAGCCCCACTTGCTCTCTCCTCTCTGTCAACGACAGAGGGTTTCTCGTAGCTAACCGCAGCCTTACTTGCTCTCTCCTCTCCGTCAACGACAAAGGGTTTCTCGCAACCAATCGCAGCCTAGCTTGCTCTCTCCTCTCCGTCAATGACAGAGGCTTTCAGTGCTTAGTAGTATGATACTACTCATCTAGTTCAACTTCGTTTGTTGATGATTGTATCGGTGTCGATCAATTGCCAGATCCAATTTTAGTTTCATTTACTTGGTTTTGGTTTTGGTGTGTGTCTATTCTTGCTGCGATTGTACTGATGGGTGCAAGTGCTGAAATTTCAAGTCTTGATTTGCAAGTTTTGTAGCTTTTTTTTTTCTTGTGTTAAAGGTAGTTATCTGCAGGGAGTTTTAAATAGTTTTAAACTTTTTTTTATAGAAATGAAGCAATATAAGATGGGATCTTATATTATAGTTATATAATTCTGCCATTTATGAGCTCATTCTTTGAATCTTGGTTGTGGATGCCTTTTGGCTTTTAAGTAAAATTTTAATATTCTCATTAAATTCTACTAGTTTAAATAGAATGGAATTGGATGGATTGCATTGATGCTGATGTACACACATGTGTGTCTTATTAGAAAATTTAATTTCTACAGCTGAGAAGTCAGTAAATTCAGCTGGTCTGGGTAATTTTCTGTTCTAATGATGTTTGTTAGTATGTCAAACTTATATCCGATTTTCTTACTCTTTTTTTTTTTTTCATTGACAAGTATCTCTAGGAGTTGCTAGCAGAGCATCACAAGCTTAGTCCTTTTATGCCTGTGCTCCCACACACCTATCGATTGTTGAATCAAGGTGAGTTTCAAATTAGCAATCCCATTTTTATTAAAGAAGAAGTTGTCCAAATTAGTGTTGTCTATTATTTATATGTTATGTCATTGCAATAAATCAATAACAAATGACAATTGAAAGGTTTCTCATTTCTCAAGTAACTAAGTAGATATGTTTATTATTGAATATTGATCATAATCTACTAACACTAGCATCATTACTAAATTATGAAAGAAAAGCTCCAACAACTACAATTCTCTAAATTGTGTATGTTCTTCTTAATCTTACCCCATATAAATGGGCTTGTAGTATTTTACCCCAAAAAAGGTCGGTTAAACCAATGAAATAAATTATTAAAAGGCTACCATTGTCAATTTTTTTGGTAACCATATTAATTTTAAGAAGCAACTGGGCACATAAATTAAAACTTACTTAATCCTTTTTTTTTTTCTATTCTAACTTGGGTGCCCCTCTCTCTTTGGAGGAAAGGGGATCTGCACCTTAGCACTAGTTTCTTGTGATATAAAGAATCTCAGCTTTCTGTTTCCTCCATCTGTCCCTTAGCGCTAGATTGTTGAGATTATAACACTTCCACTACTTTTGGCTTGGATATATTTGGGCATAGAGTTGGGGTACTTAAATGACATTATGGGATCATATTACCAAAATTTTTCAATTTCTAAGGTGGGGTAGATTGTAACCACCTATTTTTTCCAAGTTTATGTGTCCTTATTTGTTAGTCTAAACTTCATTTCTTCTAGCCAAGTTAGGTGTCTCTTATATATTTGAGCTTGATACAGATTGATAATCCTTTATCATCATGTTTTACTAATTTATGACTTGTATCAAACTTCTGCTTCTATTGTTCCTCAGTAGCAGCCTCTTATTTGAAGGTATATTACTTGCTTCAAGTTTGATGGTACCAGAAAGGGAAATTGGCTCCCTTTCTTGTGTATTTGGTTTGACTAAGAGGAGGAGAACTATGGAGTTATTTATTATGTTCATTAGTAGGAGCAACTTAAAAACTGCATGAGTGAGTCTACTTGTTCTGCAAGTGCATTAGAGGAAACTACATCTTGGTGAGATGATGTATTCTTTAAGGTGAAGGGATCTGACAAGAAAGGGAGGGTTCGTTGCTTAGCGAAGGTCCCAACTTCCAAAAAATCTGTCCCTTCCACATCTACAAACAACAATGTTGAGGAAAGGTTGAACGAAGTGGAAAATATGTTGAGTGGATCAATGCAGCTAATGAATGCAACATTCCCTGACGAGAATATCATAGATATTCTACAAGCAAAGAGAGGTAAACTTTTTTTGTTCAACCATTACAACTTGACATTCTTTTTCTTTGTATTCGTGCATATATATGGTTTGGTAGATGACAAAAAGATTTTTCATTAGGAACTTTGCTGTGACAAATGTGGTCGTCAATAGAAAAAATCAATGGAAAAAAATTTTTGAGCTTATGTTTTGTTCTTTTATTTACCTCTTAAGTCTTCTTTTCTTAGTTTTTCATCTCTTTTACTTTGGTTTTTGGTGAGTTTATGTTTTTGTTCTTTTCAATTTTCATAGAAATCTATACTCATTGAATTTTATTTTTCAATAGGCACATGCGGCCCATCAAGAGGTTTCTCATACTCACTTATACATCTTCGTTCGGGTTTCACTATTTTTTAAGTTTAATCTCTCAAATCTATATATATATATTTTTTATTTCTTTTGGTTGAATTTTTGAAATATTAGTTATCCCTAAATTTCTTTTCTATTGAATTGTAGGTTCCGGATGTTAATAGTGGGCAAGGTTTTTGAAGTATCATGATCCCCACTATTGATTTTTCTGTTAGTTAATTCCTGTTACTTGGGGTGTTAAATCTTGACATCCTGATTATATCTGCTCTTGAATCCGTGTTCTGGTTGTCATTATTGAAATCTCTTTTGTGGGCCTAATTTTTGGAATTCTATTGCTTGTTTCATGGTTAACTCTTGTTTCTCAATTTTGACTGCTTGGTTAAATTTGATCTTGATTCTTGGTGAATGCCATTTTGTTGCTGAAATTCTTTGAGGCATTCTACCTTGCACTCTTATGTTCCGGTATTCTTCCAAGCATTCATATTTTCCATTGATTTTATTCTGTTGCAATTCTTGCGATTCTTACATGTCATTTGATGGTCCTAGCTTTTAACTCTTGTTAATTGCTAAAATCTGTCTCTTGATTCCAATTGCTTTGTTAAACATGATCTTGGTTCTGGTTAACCTTGTTTTGTGGCAGAATTTATAAGGCATCCATGCACTTGTTCATTCATTCATGATCCATATATCTATTGGATGCTTATTCGTCTTTGATAGAGTTCAAAGTTTTGTTGTACTCGTCTTTAAATCCATGCCATTCTTTGCCAACTCGTCTTGTGATGGGTTCGTAGCGTAACCCCACAATTGTTCTTTTGTGGCTTTGGCAGGATTTATTTTTATTCCTTGTGCTTTCTCAATCACCCTAACCTCCAGTAGCTCGTTTCATGGTAAATCCTGTTAAGTAGTTAGTGTTCTGCTTTGATGATTAGTTGTGATTTGATATCAGAGTGGTGCAGCGGAAGCGTAGTAGGCTATGTTCTGTTTATAAAGAGTTTGTGAGGCAATTGTTCTGTCTCGGATTGTGTGAAGCCATTCACCACTTGATATGGTCCTCAATTTGAGTTTTGGGGACAAAACTCCTTTTTAGGAGGGGTG